GAATCAATTCAATTAGCTTGCAATATATTATTTTATGTAAATGCATAATGTATCAATTAAATAAATATAATATATATTAACAAACCAATAATTAACATCAATTATGATTGTATTACCCAAAATAAAACTGATTTTCAACAATACCCATTGACAATCAATTATCAACATCCTAACCAATCATTTTTTAGCATGATTATATTTGAATACTAACTATACATATTGACAATTGATTGCAAATCACTTTAATTGGCAATCAATTATCAACATCACAATCGATTAATATTGATCATGATTACAAATGATTACAAACTATCCTCATTGATAATCAATTGTCAACTATGTACATTGATAATTGAGTATTAACAACTCACTGATTAGTAATGATTGTAATTGCAATCGATTGCAATCAATTCTTACTAATAATTAATTAGCTATCTTATATATTGATAATCAATTTTTAACATTCCCATCAATTGGCATCAATTGTGATTGCAATCGATTATGAACAGAACTCGTTGACAATTAATTACTAACAATTTTTATCAGTAATCGATTATTAACACACCATCATTTTCTATTGCTAGCAGTTGCAATTGATTGCTAATGATGTTCTTCGATGATTTTTGATCACAATCAATTGTTAGCGATTATAATCAATTATAATTGCTAACAATCAATTGTAATTCCTATTGATAGTGAATAATGGAGATGTTAATAATCAATTACCAATAGGCATAATTATAAATCAATTGCCAATGGGTATAGAAATTTCCTGATGTTGATAATTGTGATAATTGTTCTGTTAATTGATTATTCTTAAAAATATCTTTTATAGTTTTAATTATATTTTTTTTAAAAGATGTTCAAATTCTTGTCAAATTCAAAGAGATAATTTGTTTATATATATTATTATTAGATGATATTGTAAAATTAAGATAAATATAGAAAATGCATAGATAGTAAAAAAAATAATTTGTTTATATATGTAGATTATGAGTGTTTGAATTTGCAAAAATATTTTATCTTCATGTATAGAATTTCTGAATACAAAGAATAATACAAATACTGATTATTTATATCTTTTAGAAATTATTAAAACTTCTATATTGAGTATTATATACTTGTACAATTAATTATTTTATCTTAATTAACAGTCTGTAATCCAGTTTAAATAAAAATACTATCAAATAATAGTATTTTTGCTCAAATTAGCAAATTTAAAAAATAATATCTTGATGCTTTAGTAATTCAATTCATTTTGTTAAGCTGAATTGAATGATAATATTTTATAAGAATTAGATTACTAAATGTCAAGATATTATTATGTGTTAAGCTATTCTAAATAGATAATCAGTTCAGTATTTGTTCAAAAATTCAATTATTGATAATCAATTACTATTGTTATTAATTTATTAATAATTCTAACTATGAATACTTTATTTGTTGCTAAAGAAAATGAGTTCAAGATCTTAGTTTTAAAAGCATTAAGAGGAATAAAAATTAACTATCACAGAATACAATGAGATATTTATTTATTTCAAAAGTGATTGTTTAATTATTATATATCTGAAATTATACTACTAGAGTGATATGATAACAAAAAACTAGAAGCACATTATAATTACTATAAGAAATTATTAATCAAGTAATCATATCTGTAAATATTTTTTTTATCTTATCATCCAAAAGCTTTGAGCAAAAATTGTAATGAATAGAATACATGAATAAATAATTTACATTTAACTCCAAAGTATTTATCTTGATGATAATAATAATTATAAAATCTTTCATACTTATCATATAAAATATTAGATGGAAATGATGATGTGGATATATTTGAAAATTATAAAGGTTATATGCTTTTAGTCCAATGCAAAAATTATTCAATGACAAAAGTTGATGCTAGTGAAATTGATAACTTTGAAGAGATAATGTCAAAATACAAGAAAAACAAAGTGTTAAAAATCTTTGTAATCTTAATTCACAATGATTATTTATTATATGTTATAGATAAAGCAGATTTAAATCATAATTTATTGTTTACGAACATATTAAATATTTATAATAATATTTTCAGATACTAATTCAAAAAATTAGATAATATATTAATAAAAGAAATAAATGAAAAATGAAAAAAATGATAGAAAAAATAAAAGAAATGAAAGCAATATTTAAGAAACAAAAAAGAACAATAAAAAATCAAGAAGTTATTATTAAAAATATAAAAAATAGATTTGATAATTATCAAATTAAAATGACAAATCTTTTAAATATATTTTTTTGTGCACTAATTTTTTTATTTATTTGTTCAATTATAATTTTATTAATAAAATATTAATAAAATATTGCTTGAATTATTTATTGAATTAATATCAAAAATTAAATTTTGAAAACTTTTTAATATTATATATACTTGTGAAAGATAAATTGACAAAGTAATTAATATAAATAAATAATTAAAAATAATTTAATTGATTATAATTAATTATAAATGATTAATTAAAATTAATGATCATTGATTATAGATGTTTACTGATTCTAAACAAAAAATTGATTATATTCAATTTTAATAATCATTAATTATATCTAATTGCAATTAATTGTAATCAATTATTAATAATTAATAATAGTTGATTATTGAATAATAATTGATTATAATCAGATATAAAAATTTTCTGATAATAATGTTTATATTATGAAGATAATATGAAAATCAAGAAATAACAAACGTAAAAGCTTATACATACCCGCAATGATAAAACCGATCGTTTCCAGCTTTCTAATTTTGTCCTCCCGCATTTCCATAGCTTCGCAAAGATCATTGAACATATCTCTAAGCATTTTGGGCATCTTCAAACCCCCTTCTTTAATGATTTTAGTATCATTGTTTCCTTCAAATATTTTTCCGGCTTCACTGCAACCATATTCTGTATGCCATTTTCGGATTATTAAATCACCACGCCGACCCATTAATTTTCTTTTCAATGAAGTTGTTGATGCAAGCACCCGTTGTGCATTTTTTCTATTTGATGATGCGTAGCTACTTGATTCTCCTCTTTGCAAAAAATAGGCGAGAGAAGTCAATCACAATAATAATAGAGAAAGATTGTTTTCTAAAAAAAACCCCCCTACCTAACAATTTCCATGCCATCTATGTCAAAGAAAGCTTTATCAATAAACGACCACGCATGTAACATGATCCATGCTTCGAGGTGCTCCTTTGCGAGATGTCTCGCTTCATATTCAAGCACGCTATTATTATAACAACATCCTTTAAACAACCATGTGTATAACAGTATATAACACAATAAAAGCTAACATTATGCTTATCAATTATAGATAGTGTTACGTATCCAATCGAGGTCGAAATCTTTCGATCGATCAAATGCTTGATCAGAACGAAAAATTAATTCTCGCAGGTCAGAAGTATTGGACTATTTGGTACATTGTCTAAGTTATATCATGTGTTTGTTGATAGTAGAACATTAAGAAAAAGTACTCACCTTTCGGAAACTATTGAGATACCCCAAAAGATCATTTGGCATTAATAGCAATGCTTTTTTGTCAAAATTTTTAATTTCACTTAATTCTTCACATGTGAAGACGCCTTGTTGTATGTAGTTTTTGTCATCCGGATCGATTAAGAAAGAATGACAAAGGCTTTCATAAAGTAAAAACAAATAACCATTAAAATGTAAAAACGTAAAAAAAATATATAACAGCAATGAATAAATGCTCACTGTTCGTGGGAACATTTCATTCCAAATTTGTATAATGCATCTTCAACAATTTTTCCGGTGTCAAAGTCCATTTGCCCTCTTGTGTAATTTTTTCTTCATCTTCGATTACGGTCTCTTCAGCATTATTGACGGGCCCCCTTACTCGCTTTGATCTTAGCTTGTGTAATATATTAAAAATTAACTCGTAAACCTCCTTTTTCGTGCGCATATGTAACAACCTTGATTTAAGATACATTATCTGCATTGTATCTATACTAACCTTTTCATCATTTTCAGAATCATGATCCAAGGTTCGTTTTGAAATAAAACCTAATTTTTGTTCTTCAATTAGATCGTGTGCTTTATTATTGGAAATCGACCTATCAACAACGAATTGTAGCTGTAAACCATAAACAAAAACTGCGTTAATATGGCTCTCACATCTTGGCACTTGAAGTAACCATTGAACACACCTGAGTTTGTTTAATCCGAAGTTCTGCATTCTCATTATCCACATCCAACCAAAACTTTACTACTTCCTCGTTTTGTGTTTGTTGCTTAATAACAATAAAAATAGTTAAAAAAATTATCTCTAACCCTAGTACATGACGACAGGTGACTGCAAACGAAGTGCATTCTTTGACACCAAAAGCGTGGTTTCGGGTCTTCATGCAGACTTAGGAAGAAGCCCACCGGAGTGCATCCATAACTAACCCAAACATGGCTGGGTCGCTTAGGTGGTTGTTTTGACAACGAAGTCCAACTTCTTCCCTATCACCTATCTCATCGCTTGCCAGGCTTAAACCACGTGCAAAATACTTGCCAATATTCCATCCTTTTTGAGAGAAAGTGCACCCTTGGACCAATTAGGTATTTGCAAAAGTCGCGTCAAAAATTTTGAGATGAACGTATGTTCATGATTTTTATTGTATGTAAATCGTCTTTATTGCGACGAAATTGAAGTATTGAAATCAAGCTTAAATCATCGGGGTCTAAGTGCTTTTTGAATCCTTCAAACTGTGTTGACATTTTCCGAAAAAGAATCGTGAAGCATTTATGTATTCTGCCCCGATTCCAGCCCTGTGTGCCACAAACACGTGATCTAATTAAGCATAGCCAATCATTTAAATTCATGTTAAAGATTATTATATCACTTGAGTTAGGATTAGGATTAGATTGCTACCATTTCTAGTTCTTACATATGAAAATATTTAGAAATGGCTAATAGTGATTATGTTCATGACAGGTTTTAAATAAGAAAGATAATAGTGAATGATTGATAATAATAATTTAACAAGAATTTAGATTTAAAGTAAATATTTGAATGTATTTAAGTAGATATAAAATAATGTTAAAATTTAAATATATGATATAAATTAAAGTTAAAAGTATAGTTATAAAAGACAAAGACAATATAACAATAATTAAGACTAAACTAAAACAAAAACAAAGATAAACAAAGAGAAAATAAGAAAAAAATAATAAAAAAACAAGAAAATAAAACAAATAAAACAAAAATTAAAATGAATAAAAGAAACAAAAAGAAACAAAACAAGACAAAAGTTAAAACCAGAATGTAATCTTTTTAGTTTATTTCATGTTATATATATAGTAAATTTGAGTTATGCTGATCTACATGTTATTTACATATATAGATTACAAAGTAAAATCAATAAAAGTATAAATCTACAACATGTTGGAATATAATAACTATTATATAATATTAAAAAGGAGTTTGTGTAAATCTATATATTGCTAATTAAATTAATGTAACAAGAGATAAAAATAAAGCACCAATAAAATTTAAAATATAATGTTCTCATTAATTCAAAAATTAATGAACTAACAAAGTAATATAATAGTGTTGTATAATGACCTTTCGTCATAATATTTTATTGGATTATAAATATCTCATATCTTATTGGATAAAGATTATATC